TGCATAGATACTATGTGTCTTTATGAAAAGAGCTGTAACTTTTTTTTTCTTTTTGGTTTTAATAGGTTATTGATAGAAAAATGGAATGTAAACCAAAAGGACAATTCTGTCTTTAAAAAAAATGCTCAGGTAAATAGATCACTGTAAATAGATTATACTTTATGTAGAGTGTATATATGTCAATGTATAGCGTATATGTCAATATAAAAGTAATGTATCATAAGCTTTGTGTAAATAACTTTTAATTTCCAGTAAAGACCTTCTCCAGTGTTGAAAATGTGATAAATGAAGTGTTAGTTTGATGTAGAACTAATATAGACAAAGAACAATTCAAAAAGTGTTTGGTTTTGGACTAGATGCATGTTTGTTGTAAAGACTGCAATAATTGCTACATGGGATATGTGATTTACTAATTTAAATGAATAGAACTGCTTGGGAAAAGACCCTATTAAGAGTAAAGATGAGATCTGCAAATGCACAACTGTATAAGACAGCTGGAGAGGCAACAGGACAAACAAAACATCTCAGAGAGCCAAACTGCTGCTTTTTTTTTTCTTCTTCTTTTTTTTAAGGGGAAAAATGGGTATGCAGATAGCTGCAGAGGCCTCCTGTAGTTTGTATTTTGGTTTACAAATATTGTCCAGTCAAAGAGAAGAAAAATGACTTGTCAGACTCATTCATTAAAGAATAGCTGCTTTATGGAGAACAGACTCTGGTAGTTGGTCATGTATGTGCAGAATTCAGCGTATAGGGGCTGATTGCTGAAGAGGGAGACTTTGGAAATGGGTGTTTAACCATCCTATAAGAGCGAGAAAGCTGTTATAGGCATGTAGATACAGAGGTTAGTGTTCCGTATCTATCTCAGACTTCCATCTTTCCAAGGTCAACTACTTGTAAAACATAGGAAGACATTCTTYTTAATGGACTTGAAAAAGTGAATGACATTGTAACACAGTTAAGCAGATAGTCAGGAAAATTGCTAGTTACTTAATTTATATTGTTCCTTTCAGTGTCATTTTTATCAAGTGTGATACTGAGCCCATGTGGTTCGTACATTTTGATTTGTGTTTAAAAGACTATTCATGTGCTTGACTTGTAGGATTAAATTTTAGACCAACAAAGGGTGCTGAAGAGGTTTGGAGTGGTATGACTAAACAGCTGCTTTTCACTATGTACTTAAAGCTTCCAGCTTCAAGAGGAAAGAGTAGAAGAAATACTCTTTGTCTCTGAGCTTTTCTGGCAAGAAGAGAGGTTGCAGATGATAAGTACCGCTGACTTATTCCACATGCAGGGTTTGCAGATCTCAAAAATCAAACCCTAACCTCTCCAAAGTTTAAGCTCAAGTAGAGCATAGCTTATCAATATAGGTAATGCAAATTACAGAAAATTAATTTCTAATGTAAGCAGTAGCTGCACAGGGTCTCAGCTCTTGTTTCTCTTGAGACTAGGAAAAAATATTATGCTGCATCACACTAAGAATTGCTTTGGTTAGTTGGCAGTATATCTAAGATGTCTTTCTGGCAGTTGACTTGAGATTTGATTGCTAGTGCTTCTTATCCCTAACAAGAGATACTAGGTACTAGAAAGAGAAATCTTTATGCTACCTTTGAATTAAAAAAAAATTTTTTATGAAAATTTTTCAAGAGAGAGGAGCAAGAAAAAACAATTTCTTGGTTGGGTTTGTATAAGCAAGCACTGGTAGTTTCCACAGAAATTCAAATAAACTCTTCCATAATGGCTTCCTGTGCTGTGAAGACAGCCCTGCATCTCGTAGGCACGTTCCTGGTGTAGGTCTGAAGTAGGTGTTAGTTCACGAGTCTGCTAGTTGCTGGTGGTATAAGCTGGCAGTTCTCTTATTTGAGGAAAATGCAACAGAAGAGAAAAATGCAGCTAGGATTTGTGTGAGCGGAGAAGTCTAAAGCAGGGAGGTGTTAGGGCATTAGGCATTTCACCCCTCTGATTTTGCTTCCTTCGTAAGCGCTCTCAGACTGTGCCGCCTCCCTTGTCTGTGCTTGTCCACAGCCGCGTGACCTTGCCGGTTGGTCTGCTTGCAGGATATCCTCCTTCTTAAGTATGGTTTCTATCTCCTGCCTGTTTCCTTCCTGGAAAATCTTGTCCTACCTGCTCCCATCAATCTGAGGAATACTTAGTCAGAGAAACATTTTAAGKTGGTGGATCATTAATGACTGCCTGATTGAGTGCTCTGTTAATGCTTTTTGTATGTTGATGTCATGTATGTCATTTGCTCTTCCAGTTTGCACTTCCTGGAGTGCAATTCACTGTATTTAAGACCTAATAAAAAAGAGTTTTATAATTAACAAAGACTACCAGCTTGTTTGTAAGTTATGACATTACTGTGACTCACTGAATATTTTAATTTGCATGCAATGGATTAAAGGCAAATGGCAAAACCAGTTACCACCTTCAAGAATGTGACCTACCACCTATCAGAAGATTGCTGGTTTTGCAGCAGGTTTGGGTAACCTCAGTGTGAAGCAGCTCATGTAGAGACGTAATTTACAGCTTCCGATTGCTGTGCTAAAGTAAACTGGTACAGAGGCCAGAAAAGAAAACACTCTTGACTCATGTGTGGAGCAAGGGTGATGGGCAGATGGAGTCTCAAATCTCCCTGYTTAGCACTACAACTGGGAGAAATGGTCAGGAAGTTTAGGCTGCAGGGTCAGCACTTGGAGTAAATTCATCTTCCTCTCTTCTTCCATCCATCCTAAGATGCCTCTCATGCCCTTTTAATTCCTTCACTGTTTTTATGGGCATGAAGCAGTGATGATCTGTACTTCTCTCTTCCAGTGCAACAACAGGTAAAAACTAAGAACCCTTACATTTGGAAGGAATCATATTACAATTTCTCTTTGGTAATATGTATTTTTTCAAACCTGCAAACCTTTTTTTTATTATTATTTGTTTTTTGAAGCAGTTTTCATTCACTAAAAGTTAATTCAGCATTTTTTTTTGTTAAGGATGCTTTTCTGTATCTTCCTTTTTAATATTGTGTGCTGCCCCCTTTTCTAACAAGACCTTAAAGGGAATACTGCTACAGAAGTTGCCTTATTGGTATCTAGTTTCTTCTCCTTTCTCCCTGACCCAACAGTACAGTCTTATAGTTACTGCTTTTAACCTGTAAATTGCCCTGTGTAGCCTGCAAAGCAATTGAACTGCAAAGTAAATGATAAAAACTTATTTTGAAAAGCATTTCATATGGCATGTTCCAAGGCAATAGTTTATAGTATTTGTGAGTAGTGGTTTCCTTCCATATCTCCAAGAGGAGATATTAAAATACAGAGAATCGTAGCATGCAATAAATACCCAATGATGCAGGCAAAAAATGGATGTTCATGTATGTTATTAAAGACTAGATGTAAGAAGAATCTGATCTCTCAGYTTTGCGAATGGCTGGCTGAAGAATGTAGAAGAAAGGTCTGGTTTTGAGGCTTCTGTAGCTGTGTACCACTTGTCTAACTTAGTAAGGAGTGTGAAGAATACTGTACTGTTATGAAGTTGTATTTAAGGTTGGATTTGGATGGTGCACGCTTTTGATTTCAGATTACATCTCATTGCATTAATACTGCATTGTGCTGCAGTTTTAAGGGCTACTTTGCTCTTTAGAAATACTTGATACATGCTAATGTTTATCACCACGTAAAATTTATGGAAAATAAATATTTTATATGTCCTGTCCCAGATTCAGATCTTATGATTTCTGGTTTTTGAAGCACTGATAGCATTAATAAATTGTTTGTTCCGAAATGTGCTGGTAAAGGAACATATCACTATATGTTTGTTATTCTTTAATTTTGACAATAACGGTGGAAACACAACTGCATGTCCAATGTTGCTACCAGCCTGATAGATCTCCACTAGCAGGTATTTACTTCTAAAATATGACAATATTAAATTATAAACTCAGCTGGATCTTTTGGGGCCTCAGAGGATCTAATGAATCTGTCATTTGGTCATAGATGCTTACAGCTAATAACCAAATGGTAAATGATTTTTTTTTTAATTTATTTTTTTTAGGAAATCTTTTTTGCTTAGAGAAAATATCATTTGCTGTGCATTTTAGATTAACGGATCTTCTTCAATTYTTGTTTTGTCATCTTTTCTGCACTTCAAAAAATTAGAATGGTAAAYTGTGCCTATTTGGTGTAATACGATGTTCTTCTCAACTGCTAACTCTGTCTTTTGTAAAACACTATATTATGATTTTTTCTGTATTCAGATTTGCTATTCTAGAGTAGTTTCTTTTAAGTGTAGTTTTGAGAGCTGTCTCCTAGCTTTTCAAACTGGAACTATTTCAGCAGAATTGAACAAGTTCACGAGAAAGTCTTCAAAATCACATGATAAACCTTGATTTACAATTTAAAAAAAATACAAGAAAAGAGTGAATATTTTTATAGTAGAGTTRTTTTTGCAACATCCTAGAACAGGCATTATTTTGCTGAATAGCGCTAATGCAGAGCAACAACTTGGAGTAGCCATATTTTCAAGTTACTTCAGACTTTCCCTTCTCTATATATTGATTTTRCTTTGCTGTATGTTTCAGAATTTTGGAACAAGTAGCAAGAAGTTTTACAATGTCATTTATAACTATAAAAATCAAATGATTTAAAATATCTACTTTATTTGTACTAATTATGGTGATATTTCTCATCTAAAGCCTGGTAGATGAAACTCCAAGAAGTGATCTGAAAGCCTGGAAAGAGCAATAGAAAAGCAAGACAGAAGCACTAAAAAAGACAGATACCAGAAGAACTYAGTAAAGAGAAGGACTTTACAAATGGCAGGACAAGATACTTCAGAATGAAGATATTTTTGCTACAATCAAGTATGGAATTGGAAAAAGTCTGTGTATTGATAAGCCATCAAGTAGAACTTTCCTGACCTAGAAAGCTTCTATTTACRGAAAGATGAAAGACAAGGCTTACTCCAAGCATGCAGTCCAAGGAGCTCCTACCAGATTCCYTCTTAGCCAGTCAAAAAAGATTTTATTGCTTCTCACCTATTTAAGCCACAATATCCATTTTTTGTAAGTTTTTTTTTTCCTTTCTAGCTCAAATAGAAAACTTCATTTTAGTTGTTTATGGGAACTAATGGCACTAGTCCTCCTAAAAATAGCTGAGGTGCTTCATAGTATGCCTTGAGGTTTGGCATAGCAAAACAATGAGGAATTTTTATAAATTCAGTCCTTTAAGTTTAATTTCCCAATCCTTCTCTCCTTCAGGCTCACAGAGAGAGAGAGAGAGTATGTAGGTTTCCCAGCTCCCTGGTCTGGAGCTGGAWCACTTTGCGTTTGATTTTAGGTCGGAACAAAATCCAGACGTGTGTTTTCATGCTTTGGTTTGTACACAATGAACCCTGGGCTTAGGCATGTGAACCCAAAGTCATCAGAGGAGCTTTTCAACAGGTCTGTAATTCAGAGTACCAGCAATAGCCACAAACATGCAGCTTCTTGGATGGTTCCTGATGCTCCAAATCAGTTCTCTGTGTTGCACACCCTAATTCAGCTAAATGCTTTCTTTGCTTGTCACAGCCTTTGATCTGACTGCAGTCAAAGGAGTTCAAAATAAAAGAAACCACAATGAGATTTTTCTGACATCTGCTTTAAGTAGCTGGTCTTCCTAGGCTATCTCATGATGAGAAGGCAACTTCCCCAAGGAAGGATGAATTGGCAAGGGCAACTTAAGGCAAGGATGATCAAGATCAGCATTGCATTTGACTTCAGTACAGGGCCCTGTGCTGAGCTTCTTTAAATGTTATTCTGCCTTGACTCAGTACTGTTGTCATCTTTTTCTGCCCTGTTTCTAATTGCTTTCAGAATATGGTGTTAGGAAAGTCGTCATCTTCACCTCTTCATAATTATTTCCATCTTTCTCCCTGCTCTGGATAATCTCAGACACAATAACCACTTTATAATGGCAACTCACACAGCTGCTTTAGTTTTTCATATTTCATTCCTCTGTTCTTGACATAACTCTTGACATTTCTGGGGAGGGATAGCCCTCAGCTCTGGCTTTAGGTAGCTTTACGAGACAGACTGAGCTCTCTCTTTAGCTTTTCTGTTGTTCTTCTGCCCTTGGGCACTGTAGAACACTCCATCCTGCCTGTGACTCAAGCCAAGCATCCAGCTGTCATTTTAACTCCCATCTCTAACCTTTAATACTAAAGTTATGTCTTTGTTAAAACTTTTTTCTTCTTCTTTTTGCGTAATACCATTCACATGAATAAAACTTTCTTTTAAACTCTTACCTCACATCTGCAGTACTGTACCCTTTGTTTTCAGGCCTGAAAATGCAGTTCTGCTTGTACATATAAGTACTTTTACATGAAAYAATAGTCTGAGAGACAACTGCTCTGAAGGAAGATAACAAACTACTAATCATTAGGCTCAAAAAAGCACCACACGTAGGCTTCAAAGTAGAATACAAACACAAGTATCTGCTCATCGTCTCTAGACTGGCCTTATGTTTCTAACGTGCTTATAAAGTTATCTATTGCATAATTCCTCTTTAATTTGRATAACAAAAAGCCCTGCATTGGGCTGAAAAAAATAAAGGCAATAAAGACAATAAGTTGTCTTTATATAATCCTTTTCACAATATAAATACAACAGGCCATTTGCAAAGGTATATTGCAAGAGCTTAAAATGAGTGTGTGTTTAAATTGGATGGCTAAAACAGCTCTAATTACATTTCACGTGAGATTTTATAAAAAATTATTAAAGACCTCAAGGCAGCATACTAGATTCTTCTATAGATTCTATTAAAGGATTTTTCACRTCTGTATATCCAAAACTACCTGTACAAATGAATCTTCTGTTTTACTTAGTTGTATAATTCCAGTAATTCGCTATTTAGTTATATGCAGATAAAAAAGAAACTCTACTATATCTTCTCCTCATCAGAATCAACCTAGATACAATTCGAATGCATTTCTTTATGGATTTTGACATTCATGGTAAGTGTCTTTAGTCGATAGGTAACACTAGCAGCTATCACCTGGTAAGTCTGCTGCATTTGAGAGAATATAGAGGGCTTGACAGCAGTGCCCTGTGGAGCAGAATTCAAGTCTCCAAACTGGCTTCATCCCAGCTAGCTCCCAAACTGGCAGACCTACCTGGCGAGTGAGACCTGCAGAGAAAATGGTCAAAGCCCCAAACTGCACGTGCCCCTTCCTCGGGACGTGACCCCAGCCTCCCCGGCAGGGCACGAAGAAGCAGCACCCACAGAACTAGCACGGGGACAAACACGTTCCTTTGAATGCTGGAGGCATCGAGTGTCTTGTTTTTCTTGTGCCCTGAATCCTACTCACTCTTACTCAGATTTATCAGTGGGTTTATCAGTATGCAGTTTAATATTGTCTTTTGTGTGTTTAGTATATTCCTCTATGAAACAGTGTAATTAGCTTTCAACATTGCTTTGTAGTCTGGATATGAGTAACGTTTTGATAAGCCAATCTGTTTCAGAAATGTGGCCCTTCTCTGTGTAAACAAACTGGCAAACATTCTGACACCTTCCGGCTATTTTCTCTACAGTCATCTCTTAGAAGTTTATTTATTTATTTATCTCTGTGTGCCTATGTGAACTATGGGTTGTTTTAGGAGTAAAGGTAGGAAAGTGCTGGCAGGATAGAGTTAGTGCTTAAAGACTGAAGGCAAAGCTAAGTCCTAAATGCAACAGCASTCCTTGTTACAACTTTAGCTTCTGTTTATTTCAGAAAGACTTAGCAGGACGCAGAAAATAAAACACAGCTGCCCTTCAGTTTCTGAGAGTGAAGGAAACCAGAGGGGTAGAAAACAGCAGTTCTGGGAGCTGCTCTGAGCTCTCTGCTTCTGGCTAAGGTGGAACCCCAAGCCACGTTAGGTCCAGTTGGTTGATTTTCACTGAACAATTACTGATGGATATGCTATAAATATGTTGGCCAGCTGCTTTTGCTTGGGGAGAGGTTCTTTACTAGACAGGAATGGATAGATGAGCCACTTTCKTTTTGGATAAAATGCTGCAAGCCCTCAGTGCTGTGTCTAGCTCAGAGGGCATTCTGTGTTCTGTATTCTTGGGTGTTTTACTGGCCTGGGTTTGTCACCCATCTCGCAGTCTGAGAAATGCAGATTAGCTTGACAGGTCCAAGTATTTTAATGCAGGCTACAAGGACTTAAATATGTATATATTATGTTAAATTATATTTGCCTAGGTGTCAGTTGGAGTTCTTGCCAACAAGTGACTACTATAAGGCTTAAATTACATTTAAATTGCAAAGTTGCCTGTGATTTTGAGATAAGTCTAACATACCAAAATTTAAAATTATAGTCTTTTATATTTAGGTTTGGGAGTGTTTCTGTAACRTCCTAACTGCTGCTTTAGGCACACCTATTTTGAAAAGTAAGCATTGTTTAATTTGTGAAAGGGTATATGTTTTAAAAGTGCTTTAAAATCTTATCCTATAATTTTTAATCAATGTATTGTTCATTTAAAATTCATTAATCAACAGTAAATCTACTCCTTCTGTTCTTGTCTACCAGTTAGTTTGCTGCCAGTGCTTAACTGATCTTGGAAACAGGAGAACAACCCTTGTGGCTACTTTTTAGGCATCCTTGCAAATACTTAAATTGAGTGGAGGTGAAGACAGAAAAGTCAAGATAAAGTGCCAGATATCATTGCCAACATTTTTCTTTCATTCTCTGTATCCAACCTTAGACTGAAAATTCTGGGTGGAAGAAGACACTTCCATTCACTCCAATGCAGGCTGAGATAAATAGTACGAAAGCTTCACAGAACTGAAGGAGTCTCTTTTGAACATCAGAGATAAGATTTTCTTACTAAATTTTTATAATGATGAACATTTTTTTTCTGTGTATTTTCTGAAAATCCTGTGTGATACATTTCAGTATGCACATATCTAATAATCTAGTACAATTTATCTGTGGAGTGATGATACTGATACTGTTTTTTGTCTTACCTAGTATTTCTTATACTTCTACCAGCTAACAGTAAGAAAAGGTGTTACAGGAAGGCAATATTTCATTTTTTCTTTAATGTGGAAGGTAAATTACCTATAAATTAAGCCCTGCCCTTTTTTGACTCCTAGTCCAGCCTCCAGCTACAAGGGAGCAGGAACAACAAAGGGACGTGAGCGCACAGGGACATCTCTGCGTGTCTGTGAGTACCTGATGCCTGTGTTACTAATCGTCTAGCAGAGAAGCCTCACCATCTTGCTTGGAAAAGAAGAACTGGGAAAACACTGACATCCAGGATTCTTCAAAGGGTACTACTACTTCTTTAGCTATTTTTTAAAACCTGAAATGTTTGACTGCAGTTTTCTTTGAGGAAGTCATTCTTCTACCCTTCTAAATTTTGAGATAGTAGTAGAGGAGCTAAGAGGAACTCACAAGACTTGAACTGAGTAAGATGTAAGTAGGCTTGTCGTGTGGGATGCATGAATAACTGCTATAAATTYAGAGAGAAAAAAGAAAGCGCTGAAATAAATATTTTCTCACAATAAATTGTAAATTTTCTCACAATAAATATACTGAAAATTTGACAATCATTTCTTAATTCCATTAATGTACTAATACTATTAGTGCTTTTAAAGAAAGATTTCTAGTAGAATCCCCAAACTTGTGACATGCTTCTCAAGACGGTCTCCAGCTCACTTAAAGCAGAGTATAAGGAGATATTGATGACAGGTGCCAGTATTCGAATGTATGGCATTTTTCAAATGTAAAAAAAAAAWAAAAWAAATGCCCTTACATGGCATATGTGACAAGTTTGAGATTAACTCCCATCGCAATGTATAAAAATACACTGAATTGTGTGTTATTTTAGAGGACAAGGCCAAAGTTTTATATGGCTTAAAACTACCGCCTTTCATAATTTAGAAATACAGATAAAAATTCATTTAAAAGAAAAAGCATGCTTGTCTTAGGTTTATTCTGTTCTTCTCAGTTTCTGTTTAAAAAATGTGGATTGACTTTTSTTCAAACTATCAGGGTGTTTTTCAATATAAAACAATTTTACAGTGATTTAACTTGATTGATTTCAGACAAATTTATCCTTAATTTGTATTTAGGGACTTCAGAGCCTAGATCCTAATTTGCAAGGGCCATGCTAAAAACTGAAACATTGGGAATTGTCTCTGCRGGAAAATTAACTGGTCAATCTTTTCCTAAGTATATTATAATTTGTAATACAAGTCATTTTAATTGCGGAATATGAATATATTTCCAAAGGGAATTGATGAACATAAAATTAGCACACTTTTAGTACAGGATAAGGTGTGCAGAGAGATAACTCCCATCAAACTTATCACAGAATGATCAGTTTTCCAAAGTAGTTGAGCTCGTAGAGCACTGGGCTTATCCCTTCTGCTCCTTGTTCAGTCTGTCCGTATTTGAATACCCCGATGAGAACAAAAGTTGGTAAGAACAAGATAGACAATTAAGCATTTAACCCATGTAACCAAACAAGTTWAAATGATAACAAAATTTTATCATTAGTTTGACCTAAAATGAAATAAGGTTGCTTTTAAAAGCAGAATCAAATCTTATCTATTTTTTTCCTGGTTGGTGGGCTAGTATATGGAATCTTCATGGATAGAATGTTTAATATACCGAATATTAAAAAATGTAATTGTAACTGTTAAGATTTGCGACCATGAAACCTTTGAATGAGAGGAGAAGACTAAATACTGAATATAAAAATATTTATATTCATTCCTCACTGTAGAGTACTTTCACATAGAAATACCATTTTATACATTATAAAGTTTATATCTTTTAAGATTTATACATTTAAAATCTATACATTTTAAGCTGTTAAGATAATAAAAGCCTTGCAGTCATGAAAGAAGCAATGTAACGTGAAACTTACTGAAATTATTTAGCTCCCAAAAGGAGCTATGAAGTACTGCGAAGGAGTTTTCAAGACATCTTTTATCTTGCAGTTGTGATGCAAGAGGGATCTGCACAGGAGCTCCGTGGGAGCCAACTGTGTGAGAACAAACTAGAGGAACATGCTGGGCTGCTGGTTAACAGAAGCAGGAAGGCACTGGTGACAGGAGGTGGAGGCTACTTGGGATACAACCTGGGATGTGCTCTCGTCAGGTCAGGAATTGCTGCTGTTTTATTCGACATACAGAAACCTAAATGGGAAATCCCRAATGGAGCAGATTTTTTCAAGGTATGTTGAAATTACATTTTTAAGAGCAGTAAAAYAGAAATTTTATTTTCACACACATTATCAACTTTTTGTTTTAGAAATTGTTGACAAAGGCTTTTCAAGGCTTTTATATACAATAAGAAGTCATGGTAAAAGGAGAAATAACTGGAAAGCATTCAGGACAGGGCACTAGAGGTGATCGCAGACATAGAGCAGCTTCAACACAAAGAATGACTGAGGAAACTAGGACCTTCCAATCTGGGAAAGAGATGACTTGGGAAGGTGGGATGGGGGAGAGATCTACAAACTGCAGGTGTCATTGATAAGGACAAGGACTGGCTGTTCACTGTCCTCCAGTACAGGAAGGAAAGGCCATCAAGTAAAACAAGGAGGCATCAAAACAAGAAAAGGCTCTGGGTTTCCTTTTTCCTATAGGGGTAATGCACATGTCTGGGGTCTTRCCAAGAGACTTTATGGATGCAAGAATGTTACCTGGTTTAAAATATGCGGTCATGTATTTGAGAGAGAGACCCATTGAGGCTATTAAATAGGCAAATTACAGGCTGCTCAGGAAATCTGAATGAAAATACTTGGAGGCTCAAAGTATTCTGTGAGGAAGTGTCACRTACACTTGCCCTGTTTAAAAAGCAGCTTGCCCTGCCCTGCTCTGGGCATCCATTTGTGTGCATGGATATTTCTGAGTCTTTTCGATTTCAAAAATTTGTGATGTCTACMAAAGAGGGGGGCAGAAATATTGAATGTCTCCCAGCTGTCTGTGGAACACAGCACCCCCATCGCTCCCTGACCCCGGGGGACACTATCTCCTCATGGCTGCTTCACCCACTCAGCTTTGGGGGCTACAGCACAGGGGTGCAGTGGCGGGTTTTGCATGTTCCTGTCAGGTGCCTGGTCCTGTTTTATACAAGGAATTAGCTTCTTCAGCTGATCTCTGCCTAGCACAAGAACTCTTCAGCAGCACTGCTAGACCCAGGAGCTCATAGACAAGTGGAGAGTGATCCCAGGATCCTTGTCCCGTTGGCCATGGCATGACGGGGCACAGGCGGTGAGGGAGGCAGAGGGGGCTCTGCAGTGGGCAGGGCAGATGTTTAGTCTGACCTGACAGGGCTGTTCTTGTGCTCAACTTCACAAACACCTGGTATATAATATGGAACAGTGACAAAATAATCAYCAGGGAACCTTTCAAATGGCATAATTTGCAATTGATGTAAATCCACATAGCTTGATTTAGTTTAGTGAACTGATGCCGATTTATGTCTTTTAAATGAAACCTCAGGGATCTGACTCAAAGGATTTTCTAAGAAGAAWTTTTTTTTAAATTCAATTTAAAAAGAATAACAATTACAAAGGGTAGATGAATTAACCTACAGCATGGAACTAATGGGAGTTCTAACAAATAAGTAACAATTTCAGACATCTGAAGCTTGATCAGTGATTTGGAGAATACTAATAGGATTTTTAATGTTTATCTGTTTCAACATTGAGCAACCTCAGAGGAAAAAAAAAAGTGTGAAGGACTGATTAGATAACATCTTATCTCCAGCTGTATCTTTTCCAGTTATTCTACCAATTTCATCACAGTAAATTAAATAACATCCAATACCAAAATTTTGACATTTCATAGAAGTATTATATTTGTAATTAAATGTTTATGTGGAATATAGTATTCTCTACATAATTTAGTATTTAGTTTAGTATAGTACTAGATATAATGGGTGTATTTATGATACAATGCAATATTCAGTATTATATACCATATAAATTAATTATAATGCAACAGCAATGTATACTAATATTATATTAAATGCATATACAGGGTACTCTTTAGCTTTAACCTCATACAAAACTATGTTTGAAGTTTGTCATTCAGTGTGACTTAGATAAAGCTTAAGGTGTGATTGCTTGCAAAACAAACAAACACAAACAAACAAAAACAGTATTATGTTGTTTGGTGGCCAATCTCCATGGCAAACTGCTGAACCCTCCCTACTACCATTTGTTGTCATTTTGGCTTGATTCTCCAACCCTCAAGTGAGCGTATGCTGCTCCCAGTCAAGTCAGACAAGTTTTGCCAGCCTGCAGGCTGCAGGCCTAAGTGTGAAAATATGCCTTATAATTGAGGCCAACAAGAGTCATACTTGTTTTTCAACAAAATACTAACAAAAATTCTTAGTCACAGTTATTGCTCTGTATGTTTGCAATGTTTTATTTATTGCTAATTAAGTATTGTGAAAAATAAATCAGAATGACTTCAGATTTTCTTTAATTGCCATAGATAATACTAATTGTATGGAGAATGTAATGAGCTTTACTATTGAAAATTATTTCTTTTTCTTTTTACAGGGTGATGTGAGGGATTATGAAGCACTGTTCAAAGCGTGTGAAGGAGTCGACTGTGTTTTTCATGTGGCTGCATGTGGAATGTCAGGACTAGAGCAAGCAAGTAAAATTTTCCTTATGTGTTCTCTGCTCTTGCAATAACCAAAAAAAAAAAAAAAAATCCAGCATGTAGAAGCCAATGAATTTGATTAAAAAATATTTATTTCCTAAGTTAGTTATAAAGGTCAAGTTACCTGCTTATGGAAACAGAGAAGAATTAAGTAATAAAAGTCAAAGTATGAAACTAATGCACTACTTAAACAGTCTACAAATGAGTTTTTAGATTTAGGATCTTGTGTAAGAAAGCATTATCCTTTTTCCCTAATCTGAAGAGGTGTGGCATGTTGCTCCAGAACTAATGTTGAAGCTTCCTCTCATATTGAGTTTATTACAGCCATGGAGACACTGACCAGCAACTCTGTATAGTTATGCTAAAGAACAGTGATATTCCCAGCATAGAAGGAGAGGGGACAGACAGAGAATTGTAACATCTATGTAGCAAAATGTTAACATCTGGTTTTGGGTATGACAAGTGCAACAACTATATTTGAATACAAATTTTTAAATTAATTTGGTATTGTGCAAAATTTATTTCTAGCTTCAAAAGAAAGAGCAGATTGAATCCACAAATGTTGGTGGCACAAAACTAATAATTGATGGTATGTACTTACATTTTCTTCCTTTGCATCTAATTCAAACTGACTGAAATCAGTGAAGAGATTCCCTCTAAATTAAAAAAAAAAAAACCTTCTAACTGAATGTTTATCGTATTGAGTTGACAGTTAAAAGAGGTTCTTCTCAGTAAGATATGAAGCTAGAAGACGACCTTGATGTAAGATACCTACAACGGAGTAGTATAGTTTCCTTGTTCAAAAAGAAAATCATGTTATTCAAATTTGCAGCAACATGTATGCAACTGAACCAGACGTAATTCCAGTCTTAATGACTGGAATCCATATTTAAGATTTTTTTTGTAAATGATATTTTTTTCATTTTTATTGACTCTGCTACTGCTTATACACTTTCCTAAAACAGTGTGTATTTCCTGCCAACATTTGTCACTGTGGCACAATTTTTTCATACACACTGGAGAATCCTGACACGCTTTTGTTATSATGACTTTAATTACCTGCACTGGACTCCGTGAACCTATGATATGAGAAACAGTACTTCTCACTGCTGAAATAAAAGCAAAAATGATGGTCTGTAGACCATCCAGGCTGCTGTCCACAGTGCTACCCTGCAGAAAGAAGTGGGGAGTCAGGGAGTTTTTATGGTATCTGGTCAACTAAGAAATGCTCATATTGATGTTATGTTTTTTCAAGTCATAAAATGAAAATGTTTTAGGAAATGTTTCTGAGGTAAGGAAGAGTCTTTTCCATCCCAGGAGAATTCCTCTCCAGCTGATGACTACATTGTAGTGTTGATATGAGTGTTGCAGGTACATAATCATAAAACATTTGATGATCATTATATATAGTGGGGTTTTTTGTTTGTTTTTTGTTTTAAAACAATTCATTTTGTGTTGCTATTGTAGTCTGCAAACAAAGAAATATCCCTAGGCTGATATATACCAGTACAGTGAACGTGGTGTTTGGAGGGAATCCTATTGAAGAAGGAGATGAAGAAACCGTGCCATATTTTCCACTGGAAAAGGTACTCTGTTCATGTGATAGCATGGCATTTGGTGTGCTCTAAAGGGTAGGTTATGTGGAGGCTGTTCTGGGAACAGAAGATATTCTACCACAGTTCAGATCAAATTCTATGAAATTATTTTTCATAAATGCAAATTGACCCATGATAGACAGATACTTATATCACAGTTACCTTCATCTGCCATAGCAAAACAGTTTTAAGATTATAAAATACATAAAAATGACTAAGGAAAGTGGAATTTGACATTTAGCAAGAAGATTCTGGAGGTAAGGTCTTCCGAAGAACCATCAGCTGTATAAAAGTTGAACATTAGGTGGCCCTATGAGCTTTTTGCACTGAAGAATGTTGTTAAATACTAATTCCACACCTTCACTCACACTCTTTTTTGYTTCTTTCAAGTTCCCAAACCTTGCTTTATTGCTGCAGACCAGGTGCTTAGTTACAGTCACCTCAAGGCTGCTCTGAAATACCACTTCCTATTTTGCTATGATCGTTAGGGAATGTTTCCCAGACAGTATAGAGAGCTTGATGCGCACTGGCAATTCCTGTCCTCTACTCTTTCCTGCTCCCAACATAGTGCCTGCACACGAAAGCYGTAATTGTGGATTGCACATCCTGCTGAATATGTCTTTGTGTCCAGGATTCCTAAGGAAGAGTGATTGCTGCTTCACTGGTGCCTTCTGAGATATTTAGTTGGCAATGTCAGTTGGTGCACAGGCTTCATAGCAGCTCAGACTTCCAAGAAAGCATTTCAGGAATTTGCAATTAACTGCATGTATCTGAGTGCTAATTGTACATTTTCTCTGACAATGACCATGCATTAGCAAGCAGAAGAGGTAGGTGAGGCTTGGAGAAAGCTATGCAGGAGAATTAAGCCAYCTGAGAGGGAAAGAATTTTATAGAGTGTGATTTTACCTATATTTTATAGTCAGAGTATTTGGTCAAAGTATAAACATTGGCATATAATGGATCTGCCCCTTTTAAGACTGTATGAAGTATGGCAATGGAAAATTCAAAAGATACGTGAATAAATGGTGTGGACAGATAATCACCTAAGCAGCAGATACTAGCTGTGTCTATAATCCTATTGCTTATAGGGTGCATATGTTAAGTTAACAGTATAATACTGGGTTAAGTTAACCAGTATAATACTGGTTAAGTTAACATATAATATCTGGGTGCATATGTTAAGTTAACAGTAAATAATACAGTTGGAGAATATGTCTTTAGATCCTTGGCAAGTAGTTTCAATAGTTTCTTTGAGGAATCTTTATATTTCACATTTAATTTACTATTTTAAAAAACTTTCTCCAGTTTCAAATAAAATTATCAGACTAAACAGACCATTATTTTTTTCAGTACTTTCAGCACAAAAAACAAGTTATGTAATCCTTTTTGTGTCACAGGTATAAGTTTGTTCTGAACCTTAATAAATTTTATAATCAATCATTTTCTTGATATAAAAGTAAAAACTTTTAAGTGGAGTTCAAATTTCTGGAAAGCTAAACATACGCRACTAAAATATAAACCTGATGGATTTTGTCATAAACAAACCATATATGAGCCATATCTTATTATTAGTTCAAGTTTTGTTTTACTCAGCTAGTCTGCAAGCTGGCTAGCTTTTAATGTTATCAGATATAAACAATGAATTTGCCTTTACCGGTGCAATAATGTCATTAAATATTGATCATATTTTACCTTTTTTTATAGCATTTTAATCATTATTCTAGAACAAAGGCAATTGCAGACCAAATGGTTCTTGCTGCTAATGGAACTTTACTCAAAGGTACATATGAAACATTTGTTTTTTCACATCATTAGTAGTGCTGGTGGRTATTGCTTTCTTTGGCCTACTGATTTATTGATAAAAAAGTGTATTTTAAACTAAATGAGGATTATTTTTAGATTTTTGTTCACCCTGTCAATGGATAATTAATTTTTCCATGTGTATACACAGACAGGWGTTTATATCCAAACAGCAGATTGGAAATTCAGAAAATTTACCCTTGCGTCTTTATATCATTTTAAAAGTTCACCGATTTTGCTATAAAAAGTACAGAACTTCCTCCTTCATTCCCCATTCAGCTGTTATCTTGAGATTCTCTAATAATACCAATGGATGAAAATGTATTTTATTAGTTTACACAAATAACAGAAAACAAGAGCCTATCAAGCAAGAAACATTGAAAAGGTTAACTTGGCGCTCTCGTTATGAAAACCTTTCTATGATCAGAGGGATTCCATTTTCCAGATTGTTAAGCTAGGATCTTTCACTGCTATTGAGTTCACTTTAATATGGAGATGAAAACAAATTACTAGGTATCCAATCACATAGAATGATCAGACTTTCCTCTTTTCCTTTATTCCCACAATATGAAAATTCAAACAATCTATGTGGTTTACCCTGCAGCAGATGATACCAAAATTATGAGACAATGACATRTCCTTATTTCTGCTAGGAGGCAATAAGCTCCATACGTGTGTGCTTCGTCCCCCTGGCATATATGGACCAGAAGAGCAGCGCCATCTCCCACGAGTAGCTGTATGTGTCACCTAATCAGCCCTGAAGGACATTGCAAGTAATTGGTTGTGAGGGCATAACACAAGAGGAAGTGTCTTGATTGCAGATCTTAATAATTATTCCAAGCAAAATTAAAAAGTACTGTGAAGGCTTGGTGACAGGTCACCTACCATGAGATTACAAATCGCATGATACGGTCCTTGCAGAAGTGGAAAGGATTAAGCTCTACTTTTAAGTGAATATCAGGAAAAAAAAAAACCAATGGCTAATGTGTCATGCTGGAAGAACTAAGTTTGCATCCCTGATTTTTTTAATGAAATATGTACACGTGTATTAAATATGTATTTGAGATTCATAATAATAATATTTTAACCAAGTGCCATAATGTCMTCCTGTTTTACAACTATAAATAAGTGCAACAAGTCTTGATTTATAAAACTGCTAAGTATAGTCATTTTTCACTTGTGACACTTTGTGTTGTATTTGTATGCAAAGTTCTTAATTTTTAAGTATTCAGGCTGAGACAGAATGAATAAATTCTGCTACATAAAGAGAGACACCCTTCATGTAGCTCTCTCATGTTTTATATTTTTACAGGTAAATATCCAGCGGAGATTGTTTAACTTCAAGTTTGGGAATCACAAAGTTCAGATGAACTGGGTTCACGTAGGAAATTTAGTACAAGCTCACTTACTAGCTGCTGAGGCTCTCACTTCTGAGAAGGGTTATGTAGCTGTAAGTAAATAGTATAGACCTCCTGTCACATTAGCTATAGCTCTTAAATAATTTAATTTTTTTGTTGCTAAATTCTCAAAAAGGGGGTATGGTTTCACAAGTATAAGCACAAGTACATGGTTTGTGAAGACCTTAATGCTCTAACAGTGGGGTCACTGTGCAACCAAACCAAGCTCTGGCCTACATTACAGCATGGTTAATCATCATAACTCTACTTCCACACGGAGGTTACCCAGACGAAACGTCTTTGAGAACACAGTGAGGTCCAACAAAGGTAGTTTGTTGACCTGATTTGGATATATTTACTGTATGTGCACTGGTATGTTGTTCACAAAATCAGCCAAAATAGGTTAAGTATGAGAGAAAATGCTGTCCTATGCATAGTGTTTTCTCTAATTGTTTTTTCTCTGCTTCTTTAACAGAGTGGTCAAGCATATTACATACATGATGGTGAAAACGTCACGTTTTCTGAATGGATAGTTCCTTTAGTATGTATTGCACACACCTGAGCTCTACTGCAATATATATGCAGCTTAATCCTGTAATTAACTAGAAGACTGTGCTAGCTAAATGAAGATCAGGACATGTTAATTACTGAATTAGGAAACATTAAACTTAAATCAGTCCTGTTCTCCCTGCATATCCTGAAGTTCCATTGTCCTTAAGGGAAGTTTCAGATATGCATGAATATGGAGTTTAGCCCTTAGTCTTTTGAGAGAATTTAGCCAAGTGATATAGAACCTTCAATATTTTATATAAATAAATATATATATATATATTGAGAGAGAGAGAGTAACATTTGTAAGGTACCATGCATGTAAGCTTCTGTTACCATCTGCTAATCCTTTTCTATCCRTTGTTTAATTCTCTGTTCTGCTGATAACAGTAGCACATAAAGGCCATTTTGAATCATATCTTTAAGCCTGAAAGAGAGGTCATGTTATATTTTCATAATGAGCAAACTAGTGTTCTCGGCACATGCTAGAGTGTTCATCCTGCAATGCCAACACAGCTCTTGGCGAAAAAATGGCAGTAGAGCTATGGAACTTCATTTAAATACAGGCAGTATTCCCTGCCACTTGGAAATAGGCTCGTTTCCCATATACCAGTTAATTGTATCTGAAAAGTGGGACATGAATGAGAAGCAGTGGTTCTCAGTTACATTTCCTACTATCAGTATTGATCAGAAGATTAACTGGAAAAAGTTTAGACTTATACTTTATCAATATTCACTTTTCCATTTTTGTACTTCCTTGATATCCCTCAGTTTGATACAGATTCTCTGTTCTTTCATTTTATGCCTCTTCCAGTTTGAAAAATTAGGCTATGAGAAACCATGGATACATATTCCTATTCTCCTTGTTCATATAGCAGGTAAAAATAATAAAATACATAATTATTGTGCTATTTATTTTTATTTTATACTTTCTATATAGAAAAGTACATAAAACATTTGTAAAATTCAGAGACAAAACTATAGGAATTATGTAACTTTAAATTACTAGTATTACTATAATATGACTTTTAGCAATTTGGGATTATTAGGTATCATGACAGATGAAGTTTAAAAACTATTAATATACTGAGTTAATCTTGTACTCGATAAATTAAATACTGTCTTTATAATACTTGAAATTTCATAATATTTAATATAGTCTGTATACATTATAATATTTTATGTATTATACTATTTCACAGCCACTGTGGCGGAATATCTACACCTGGCCCTGAAGCCATTTTTCAGCTTTACACCTTTCCTGACAAGAAGTGAGGTAAATGGTTTGAGGGAACTGCACTGACTTTGTTGCATGCAATTTCCTTGGTTCTTTAACATCCATTGAGAGGTGGGAAATCACTGCCACAAGCTCTATCTGTGCCCCATCCACAGGGAACACTGCTGCACAGCTGCGGCTTCCTACTTGTAACCTACATAGACTCGTTCTGTTAGCTTTTGGACAGCACTTGACTCTTCAATATGTACATTTTCAAGTGTTTATCTTCATGTTTCCAATTCTTCTGTAATATCACTGTTGATATATTTTCATCCAACTTTTTGGACATCAAACAATATAGTCACTTCAATAGCTGTTCTTTTGGATTTTAGGTGTGGAACGTTACTGTAACTCACACTTTCCGGATAGACAAAGCACGAAGTCAGCTTGGTTACAAACCAAAGAAATTCTCGCTAGCAGATTCTGTGGATCATTATCTTAAAGCAAGACCTATTTGTCAGGATGATCGTACTTTCCTTAAAATGTTTGCTTTGGGCATTTTGTTAAGTTTGATCTTTCTTTCTTTCTTCTCCTAAAACCAAACATCTACCTACCTGTTAACTCTGTTTTGAGTATTACTGATYTGGTCATAGTACATTCCTCACAACTGAATTTCTTCTTATGTGACCATTTCTGATATCTGATCCAATTAAAAAACAGGAAACATCAGTAACTTGCAAAAGGATTATATATATAATATATATATACACACAAACATATATATTACAAACATAAAATATATAACAAAATTACAGGAGTTCACCATTGACAAGTGCAAAAATAACTTCATGAATCTATTGTTTCATACCAAGAGCACTTCTCTAAAAAAATTGGGTAATTTAAGATTATAAGAAATTGAAAGAAGAGGAGCCGCTATAGAACAGCACTGTGGGACAAGACATTTAATGAAGAAAAGCTGACTTAAAAAATCCTATGATGAAACTACTGGTACAGCTACGGCAGAGGAATATGACAAAGACCTGAGAAATAGTCAACACAATAAAAAACTATGAAAAATAGCTGTTTATAAATAACACATGGTGAGTGGACCAAAAGTTACATTTGTATGAAATAGCTTTGTTGTTAAAAAGCTATGTAAAATATGTAATAAAATGGCATTATGTGGATCTGTAAATCAAGTAACTTTTTTCTGATGCAACAATAAATAGTGATTGAACCACTTGCTGTTTTTAAGGGGTATGGGGGGACAGGACGGGCATAGGATGCTGGAGTTTGGCAAGCAGGTGAATGAGCTTTCCTTGTAAATGAAGCCAAGCTCCATTATCCACATCCCGGTGGTCAAACTGTTCATGCTGGGAATGGCCATTTCGGGGAATGAGCAGCGCTCAGCCTGCACAGGGAGCCAACCCTTTTCCTTTCCGCTCTTTTTCCTGACAGATGTGGAGAGATGGATTTGCCGGGTGGCAAGTCTTTCTGCAGGGGATGGTCTCCACTCTGTATCTTCCTCTTGTATTAAATCTTCACAGGATTTTTAAGAGCCAGAAAAAAAGTGGTGACAACTTTCCCATCCCATCTTTACATTCACGGGGTGCACAAGGGAACCAGCAGCATCTCGGCARTAGGGCAATAGTGACAGAAAACGTGAGCAACCCGCAGCTTCTGCGGACGTGGTTAACGTGCYTTTCCGAGCAGTTTTCTACAGGTGTTTCAGGCATGGTCTGAGCGGGGCAGGGGAGGCGGCAGCGCAGGCTTTGCAGCACCTGAGCGCAGTGCCTGGGAAGCGCCGGCTMCTGGTTTGCGAGCTCCACCTGTTGCTTTTTACATGAGCGCAGTAACAGTCTAATTAGCACTGAGCGGGTTCGTTTGTTCATCGTTATTAAAAGGAGGGGGGTGCGCAGCCCCCAGCGGGGGTCAGCGCGGCGCGGCCGGTGTCCCCTTTCCGCCGGTGTCTCTAACGCTCCGCCAGGCGCCTCACGCAGCGCGGGTGAAGGCGCCGTGCGCAAAGCGCGGCGCCTCACGGGGGCGTCTAACGGTCGCGGCGCGGACACGTCTCCGGCGCCGCGCGTGTCTGCGGGGCGCCGCCCGCCCGGCACCCGCCACGCGGCCGTCTCGACGGGAGCCGCTGCTGCGGGGCGAGGCGCCCAGGTGAGAGCCCCGCGGGGCCGTGACGAGGTGCCTGGCAGCGCGAGGGAGGTGAGGGGCGGCGCGAGCCCGTCGGGGCTCCACTCCGCCCGCGGGACGGGACGGGGTGGGACTGGCGGGCAGCGCTTGCCCGCGGGAAGCGGGGCCGCCCTCGCGGAGCCGGCGGGCTCGGCCGGGGCGCCATGAGTAACTGTACGGGCGGCGGCGGGCACGGGCACCGCGCCGGGCAGCGGCCGCCGAGCGAGCGCGGCCGCCCGCGCCGCCGGGGCTCATCTGCATCCGCGCTCCTATTGGCTGACTGCGCAGGGGGGAGGCACAGTGCGCAGAGGGGATTGGTCGGCCGGGGCGAGGGCCCGCCCCTCCGGCCGCCGGCCCGGCCGGGGCCGGCCCCGCTGCGGGACAGGGACCGGGACCGGCACCGGGACCGGGACCGGGACCGGGACCGGCCCCCTCAGGAAAGGCGCTCTGCGCCCATTAAAGCGAGCGCCGCCCGCAGAGCCGCCGTGGCCTCGCCTGGAGCGCCGCAAGCTCCAAACCCCCGCGTCCCCCGCGCGAAACCGCCGGGAGCCCGTCCCGGGATCTGGGTCTGAGCGCCGCGGGCCTCCCGGGGCAAATTTGCAAGTGAGATGCACAGAGTAGCTGCAGGCTCGGGTAGCGCTGAATCTTTCATTAAGGCCCCTGAAGTGAGATGGGAAGCTCCAATAAGGGTCGGTTCCTGTCCCCGCTGCAGAGCTTTGCCTTCCAGTGAACGCCTGGGGGAGGAGCAATAACCTCTGCAGTTAATAAATGCAATATATTCACTATTATTTTTCTCAATATACTCATTGATCTGATTTTTCTCTTTCTCTGATTTGTCAATTTTAATACTTTGGATCTTCTGAAAAGTAAGGCTTGATAGCCCCATCATCTAACAAGATACAGGAATCAGGTTTGCTTCATCCCACCTGAAAGCCTCGGAGGTCTCAACTCCAACCACGACCTGTGATAAACACAGTATCTCCTTAATCTACAGTGGGTTGCGGCCAATCCATAGGATGGGGCAGAAAACAAGGGATATTTGTCTTTGCCATAACCAGGGGCAAGAGGGAGAAGCATTTGAGGTCTCTGTGTGAGTGTGTTCACACAGCGGGGGCAGTTTGGTAACTATGGGCAATTTGTTCATCTTTTGTGCTGACCTGATAGCCTCATATTTCAAATTCAGGTACAGGCTCCCTTGAGACCCTACCAGCCACCTTTGAGCGTTAGTAACACAGAGCAAGGTGAGCAGAACAGAGACCACTGGGCGCTTGTTGCAGAGGCAACAGCTTCTCTCCTGCAAATGATAAATTTTTATCTGATCAGTTACTGTAGTTTTGACCCACAYGCAGAAAACATGTTCATTCATGTGCTCTGAGTGAGGAGAAATTCTGTTCTTCAGGTTTTGTTTGCTTGTTTTTTATTCTAGCTACTAGTACATCCAAAATAGGCAAACTCTGTTACGTGTTTCAGGATGCTGACTGTAATAGAGAAACACATGCTCAAAGTTTTCAGGGCCAGTTCATAAAAATGAATCTTTAAAGCCTGTATAATATGAACAGGATGATTAAATAAGCTAAGAGCTAAACAATCTGAACAGCAAATTTAAATTGGTCATTTAAAAGCAGCCTTTGAAGACTGGAAAATTTATAGCTAGCGATACACTGTCACTTAAACAGGTTATGTTAAAGTAAAATTTTGCTGCTGCGAGTGGAAATTCTTTATGTGAAACATTTGGATTTGTCTGCATTTGGGAGCACTATGGAGCAGTTCTCAAGATGGAGAAGAAATTGTTGCATGTGTCTGCTAAAAGAAGATGGATTTTTTGCTTTGTAGGAATGACACCAAATTTACCCCAAGCGGGACAGCAACGGGCTGRCACCAGAGCTCCGAGTCCAACGGCGGTGGAAATGCTGGGGCACTGACTGAAACCAGTATGAGAGCGGTGGTGACGGGAGGCGGAGGCTATTTTGGATTCAAGCTGGGATGTGCTCTTGCCAGCTCAGGAGCTTCTGTTGTCCTCTATGACACAAACAAGCCTGTTTGGGAAATTCCCAATGGGGTGGTGTGTATCCAGGTATGATGAACTGTATTTTCACATTTGCCAAATAGTTTATTCATTTCTTTTGTTCCTATAAATTCTGTTAGTTTTCACAGAAACTTCTCAACTTCTTTAAAGTTTTCACATGCTATGCATTTGTCAGCTGAAGTTTTCTTTGCATCTGAAACCGATACAGAAGGACAACAATGGTGTTTCTAATCTAGTTAAAATGAGTAAACTGAGTAGTTCATTTTCTTTCTAATTGACAAGTATTCTGTTCACTCCMTCTGTGCCTTATTCACCAGTAAAATGACTATTATACTTCTTGGGATGTTATAAGGCTTAATGAATATTTTTAACATCCTTYGGATGCCATGGAAGAAATCTGTTATTACCAACAACTACTAAAAATGGCTTCCCAGGATGTGCCACAAGGGCAACCATGTGTCTGCATTCCCCTGTGTGACAAATGCTAACCTATGCTTTTGCATTCACAAACTTCTCTCATATATATTTCAGGCGGATGTCAGGGATTATGATGCCATTTTTGCAGCCTGTGAAGGGGCTGACTGTGTCTTTCATGTAGCTTCCTATGGGATGTCAGGAAGAGAGCAAGTGAGTGCAAATAGCTTTTTATTTTTCCGTGTGATTATTTGTGCTGAGCTAGGCTGGGAGATGGGGCGCTGTAACATCGTGTTTTAGACTCTACCTCTTCACATTATCCTGAGGGCATGGTCCGTAAGTTACTTCACAGCAAAATGCTGGAATAACTTCCTCACAATTTGAGGCTTAAACAGTTAGAGCCTGGGAGGGATTTGGAGCTGGAAACTGTATTGAAGGGTGTTGTAATAGCGAGAAGACAGAAGGAGAGGCAAAGGAGGTGGGTTCCCCCCACAAAACCTCATCTTTCTGTAACCTTTTTTACGTTGAACTTGCTGTGACATCACGGGGAAGAATGAAGCCTAAAGTAAACTATAAATTAACTTCTGTAACTAATTTGTAACAACTTGTGTATTTCAAATCTTAATTGTTTGCCAGTAGATAAAATGCTGTAAGGAGGTGCTTGATGTAGGGCTCTTGCACGCATTTTGTGTGATCGAAGTTACAAACACATGTGCCCCCTTTARGACAAGGAACTTCAACAATTACTTCAGACAGATGGATAGCTCACCTAAAGATTAAAAAAGTAATATCTGACTTCTTGAAGTGTCTAAACATTTGTTTGTCTAAACATTTTTTCTAAAGCACTAAGTTCATTACTTTTACTTCATTTGGGGGCATTTACAACAGCCTCCTAGTGAATTTAAAATGTGCTATCATTCAGAAGTGCAGAATTTCTCTATTTTCTTAGCTTCACAGAAAAGAGATCGAAACAGTGAACATTGATGGAACAAAATTCATCATTGATGGTATGTATGTAACCTTGCCAATGGGCATAGCATGTCAGAGCATATCACTTAGAAAAKAAAATATTGGTATGCACTATTTTTCACAGATATT